TACGCACATGGTTGTAAATTACTTTCTTTATTCCTTTGCAACAAAACAGCTCCTACCGCTATATCGCTGGCATCCGCTTGAATGATAAATGGTAGAGCTGCATCTGGGTGTTTCAATACTGGCTCTTGTGCAAACAGAGCTTTTAGTTTATCAAATGCTGTTTGACATTGGTCAGTCCATTTTAACATAGCACTTGGTTTTGGATTTCCAATACCAATAGATTTAGTTCGTAATAAATCCGTTAGTGGTATAGCGACATCAGCAAAACATGGAATAAATTGTCTATAAAAATTTACAAACCCCAAGAAACTTTGCAGTTGTTTCCTGGTTTTCAGAGCTTGCCATTTTAATACCGCTTCCACTTTTTCAGGGTCCATTTCCACTCCTCATTCTGAAATACAATATTCCAAATAATCTAATTGTTTAGTGTGAAATTCACATTTTGATAATTTTACATAAAGTTGGGCATCCAATAATTTTTTAAGGACCTGTCTGACTAATTTAATATGTTCTTGCTTAGAATTAGAATAAATTAAAATATCATCTAAATACACTAACACACCTTTATACAAATGTTCATGTAGAACTTCATTTATCAATTGCATGAATACTGCTGGAGCTCCTTGCAATCTGAATGGCATAACATCATAGTAGTAACTACCAAGGGGGCAATTAAACATTGTTTTCCATTCATCTCCTTTTCAAATTCTTACTCTATAATAGGCTTCCCTTAAATCTAGTTTCATAAATATACGTCCTTTGGCTAGTGTAGCTAATAAGTCCTTCATTAATGGTAATGGATACAATGGCTCTACACATATGGCATTCAACCCTCGATAATCCACACATAAATGCAACCCTCCATCTTTTTTTCCCCGAAATAACACTGGCACTGCCATATGGGATCTTCCTGGAGTGATAAATCCTCTTTTAGAAAATTGATGTATTTTCTAATTTCTTCCAATTCTTTTTGGGTCATTGAGGACATTCGTGGTTTGGGTAATGCCACTCCTGGGACAATCTGTAGGTCGATGGGGTGGTAAACAATCAGTACCATCTTCCTTGAATACATCTGCTAAGTCTTCATACTCAATTGGATAGGCCTTTTCGGTAAGTGTTCCCTCTCTTATTTGATTTGTATTATTTGAAGGGCGAGGCGAGCCATCATCATGGCATGGTGGATTAGGACCGACAGCTAGACATAATTTACGATAACCCCCTTTCCCAGTGTATAGTGGGTTCCCATTTATCCAGCCAAGCTAGTCCCAGAATTAATGCTTTGCTCATGTGAGGAACCACCACAAAAGAAATCCACTCCCAGTGCTCCCCATCACCATTTTAATATATTCAGTTCTATGAGTTGCTGGAGCTCCACCCAATATAGAACCATCCATCTGTTCAAATTTAATAGGAACACCTAATTTAATAACTCTTAAATTTATCAACTACTGCTTGAGTTATTAAACATCTTGTGCACCCTGAATCTATCAATGCCCCCATCTTAATTCCTTGATCAGTCAGTTTATTCCATAAATCCAAAGGTAAAATAAAAGGATGAATGGGTTTACTTACCATTGGGTCATCTGGCATCTCATTATCCATATCAGCTTCTCCCAATGTAGTAGATTGCATAATAGATCTTTCATCTTCCACTGGAATATCTGACGAATTAACTATTACTCCCCTTGCCTTGTCTTGGTCATGCCGATCTCGTCTACTTGGTTTAGTCTTATTAAATTCTGAACCAGATCGAGGATCTTTCACTGCCATAGGTTGAATTGGACAATCCATAGCCCGATGCCCTGGTCTATCACAGTAGAAACATTGAAATATTCTCCTATTATTTTGTGTCAATATTATTTTGGGTTGTGGTTTTGTGCTTGCGCTTATAAACTTTCGTGGTTGTATTAATCCTTCCAGCCTCAGTTTCAAACGACGCAAACCATCACCTAATTCTATCGTCACACAATACCAATCAGTCAATGTAGCATACAAATCTCTATATAAATAAGCCTGATGTAGTTTAGGGTCCATCCCTTCTTTAAATATATGAATTAATAAACTCTCCGGTAATGACGGGAGTTTACTAGCCACTCGTCGAAAATCATTTACACATTCCCATGCTTTCCCTTTTTGTTTTATAACTAGCAAATCCTCTTCTGTCTTCTTGTCTGCTGATGTATCTTCAAACCGATTTCTTAATGCATCAAAAAATCGTCCTATATCCCCCAATTCCTCCACCCTATGGCGATATAGATCAGATGCCCATTTGTATGCTTCTCCCACTAACACTCCAGTAACAGCCACTACCATGGACCAATTTGAGTGGTAACAATGGGAGTATAAATCAAAATGGTTTAATACTTGGCTTAAGAAAATAGCCACTTTATTTGTATTCCCATCAAATGTGGTTGTTAGAGGAGGGGGGCCCTACCTCCCTGGTACTGGACCTTCCCAATGTGCTCCATAATCCAGGTCCTGCGGGTCTACTGACCGAGGTCTCATGGAATATCTATCTTCCCCTATGTTCTTATCCTCCATTCTCCTAGAATGGAAGTCCGATGTGTCCAATCCTCTTCCAACCTCAGACTCCTGAAATCTTAATGGACTGGATGCATATAAAAGGTCCTTTTCAGAATATGATACTTGTTTCTGAATTGAGGTCCCCCTTTCGTTTGTTCCTTTTAAAGTCACCTCTCTGAATTGTATCCTTAACATTTCTAATGGGTCACTTCCTGGAACTGCCCACTGACTTTCATCAGACCCAGGCTAACATTTCACTTTCCAATCCATTGGACACTCCCTTTGCCTATATTCTTTCCCCTTCTCCTCCTTTAAGCCAGGGTCTGGGTCACTTAATCGCACCTTAGTTGTTTTAGGCTTTACTACAGGTGGTACTGTCAATGGCACATCCTCAGGTGCCATTACTACAGGTGGTACTGTCAATGGCACATCCTCTCTCTCCATTTCCACAGTCCGTTTTTCATTGCCCTCTCCACCATCGTATCCAACCACTTCTATGCCTTCCTCCACCATCCATTCCGGATCTGTGCCTGTGGCATTACTCACAGTAAACTAGGTTTTTGAAAAGGTGAGCGCTGACTTTCTGTTAGCCTCCATTTGAACACGTAGGAATTCTAGCAATGAACTATATTACTCACAGGATTTGTTGTGAATAGGTATGTTTATTTTCGCTCGTTTTCCTTCAAACACGACAACAATGGATATACCGGATAAAGTCAGTGCTGAGATCATTAATCTCTCAGCGCAATTTATCATGCAGCCCCACCCCATGCAGCCAACTAACATCCGCCCTCTCCATTAGTCCTACACGCCTCCATTCCGCAATTCTAAATGCAACTAATTACCAAACAGAATGTGGTTTTAATTCTCGAGCCGTGCCGTAACTTCCCCAATGAGTTTTTGTGTTTCGTTTCGGGTAATGAGAGGAGTCGGAGTGATAACCCTCCTCCCACCCCATCCTTGTCATATGTTCGTGCCGATACGGGATGGATGGGTCGAACCAGGATGGGATCTTCAAAAGTAGGAGACGTTTTCCGATCAACTCAACATATTGGAAACGGCAGGATCGGATGTTCATTCCCCAACCAAGATAATGTGTGGGGCTTCACTCCAGGAGATAAACCGGTAGGCTCTTTGAAGGCCGACACTTCCAGAGATAGAGAATCCATAGTCTCTATAGATAGGCTGTTCTGTGGCTGTATAGATCTTACTGCCTTGCAGTTTGCTCTTATTGCAAATGAAATCTAGATAGCTGCAACTTATATTCATTATTTCTTGTCCTAGTTTCTGTGCAAATGGAAAATATTTCATGACCATCTTCTCTTTGATACTGTCAGCCCTACTTGGCTTTATTCACAAATTACTCTACTCACGTTCATCAGGCAAGGTAACAAAATCAATACTTGAATATGTACATTTATTTTTACAAATTAATATACAAAATGATTTTTGTAAAAACTACAGTAAAACTTTATTTTATTAAAACATTTGTGTATTTGGATCCATTAACAAAACTTGAAAGAATTTACAGTAAAACACATATTACTGCTACATAAGCAGTATTGGGACTAACTCTTTTCCTTAAAGAGAAAAAATAAGAGAAAACTCAGTATGAGAATTACAGTCACTATTTTTTCTCATTATTCTTTCAATAGCCTGTTAGCCCATTCAGTGTTCAAAATATCCAATTCTTATAAGAACTGAATTTGAAATTTTAAACAAGGGCTAGCAATTTTCTCTTTAAGTACAACACAGGACAAATAAGAGCAGAGGGATTTTACAAGCCTCTGAGTAAGGCAGGGCACATGAGCACATTCTGAGTTTTCCCCTTGAGATACCAAATAAAAATTAAGTAGGTCATGAAACAAGCGCAGCATTATGTTCCTTGCAGCCTTAGTTTCACGAGCAGCCCTAATTTTAGCTTGCCCTGATAACAGAATAACTGAGCGAAAACTAGATGGTGCTCTTGGTAGCCAAGAGCCATAGTTGCACATGGAGGGATCTCTGTAATGATAGGTATTTCGCTTTCTTTCCTTTAAATGGAATGTGCCTGCACGGGAAGTGATGCTATAGTTTTTTTTTATTCGTGCGGCATTCCAAGCCATCAGTTTTTACTTTATTGGTATCCAATAAAAATTTAGAGGAGAATAAAATTTAGGAGAATAAAATTTAGAGGAGAAATTAAACCTGTGACAAAATTTCCTCTTTTGTACAAAGTGCATGTTCGGAGTTTCATTTGTGGTTACAAACAATCACTTCATTCAGGAGAGCAGAGAACGCCCAGTAATTACACCCCACTATCCCGAGAGAAAACAGCAGGACTAACGCGCGCATGCCCTAAAACGCCAGGGCCGGATCAGGTTCTATGGTACACAACAGCAACAAAACTAGATCTTCTGAAGTGACGCGCATGCGCACAATGTCTTTCATCGCGTTCTATGCAACGCCCGGAACACGCGCACATGCGCAGTAAAAAAAAGGTCTCGTTACGGAATCCGTCTTCCACCTTCGTCTTCTGACCGCCCGCAGGCGACGATATAATGACGTCACGGCGACGCTTGTTGGCGGTAGTTTGAAAAGGAGAATGCGCTTTTCTTAGTTGTGATAATGTCGGCGTTGAGTGCCTTTGGGAAACTCCCAACACTGAATTCCGCGACCATTTTGGTACGTATCGGGCCGTCGAGAGAACGGGTAACGTCTGCGCTTGCCGTCCCTTCTCCGGTTATCGGTTCTGAGGTCCTGAGCTGAAAACGGGTAAAAAAAGTGACTCCGTCCTTCAGCCAGTGGTCGGGACGTCTGTCTCTTTTTAGCCCGCTGAATTGATTTGGGTCATTTCAGCTTGACGCGGGAGTTGCGCTGAAACTTTCCAAGGAGCAACATCCCGCGGAATGATTGTGCTTATGTAATAGTCACGCCTCTCGATCCGAAGGGAAAATCTGCAAAGTAGATGGCTATGGAGATTCTCAGTCATCCAGGTCGTGGTTGTCTCAAAGTTGCTTTTTTCAAGAGACAACTGGACTTCCAGAAAGTCCAGTTGCCTCTTGAAATAAAGCATCTTTGGGACTGCAAAGTAGATGAATATCTTTACGAGTATGAGCCTCTGCATTTATTAATTATCCCAGGTCCCAGCAGTTGACGGCAGCTCCTTAGCCTATCTCAAGAAAAGCTCCCGAGGTTTGGATCTAATACTTTGGTGAGATGACATCTGGAATTTCCAGATACATAGGCTGGATTGGGAAGTTGAAAAAGGATACCGGAAGAAAATTACTACTATAATGTTGCCAAGTAAACTAAACTAAGGAAGTGACAATGACACATACTGAAAATAAAGACTACCTATTAAATTCCTCCCAGTTAATAGCTATATTTTCTATTGAGTCTGATAAAATTTGTCTAATTGAATTTGATAATAGAAGAATGAGGATAACAAACGTATAGCAAATTAGAATTGATCACTGTTTTTCTTGCAGCTGTTTGAACTAACTTTTTCCTCATTAATCCCATAGTTGGTGGGAACAAATGATGTTTTCCAGCAGCAACTAGCAGAAACTATACTTAAGGAAAAACAAGATTTGAAAATAAATATGTAAGTAGTGGAAACAAGACTCCACTTTAAAAAACATTGCCAAATTTTTGTTCTCACCTGCGTTTTGTGGAATTCTATAGAGCACTTGTTCATCTAAAACAATGACTATTGTGGTCTATGGCAGGGGTCACCAACTTTTTGGACCTCAGGGACCACCAAACTCATAATTTTAAATCACAGGGAACACTAACTGGTTCTGTGGGCATGGCCTAATTTGTGGGTGTGGCTTGGTGGTCATGTGATTGGCTGGGCATGGCTTGTATTATAAATATTTATATAAATATTGAATTTTTTATAAAAAGCAACTTTTACCCAAAAGCAGGCAAAGCAGGCAGGCAGATTGAGTTGCTCACAGATTCATTCAGAGATCTATCTATCTGTCATCGGCTAGCTCAGTCTGTCACATAAAATTTGCTTGCAAGCAAACACAAAATTAACTCACAACACACCATGTATGTAAATATTGAATTTTTTATTTAAAAAAGAGCAATTTTTACCCAAAATCAGGCAAAGCAGGCAGGCAGATTGAGTTGCTCACAGAATCATTCAGTGATCTATCTATCTGCCATTGGCTAGCTGAGTCTGTCATATAAAATTTGCTTGCCGTGAGTTTGCACTGAATAATAGAACCTTCAGTCCTAAGGGAGGTTCGGCTGTGCTTAGCTAGAAAGCAAGAAATCCAACCATTTCCTGCTTCCTAGCTAATCCAAATCTCCCAGCACAGCAGAACAGCTGATGGTCAGAAAAATAGTAATTTAGCAGGCAAATTTGCCAGATAAGGAGTGAGTGGGCCGGGAGGGTTCCCGCAGGCCATGTGGGCAGCGCAGCCTTGTGTTTCTGCGCAGCCTGGATTAATTGCTTTGGGGGGGGTACTCGGTGAGATTTCTCTGCGGCCCATCAAAATTTTCTCACAGCCCACTAGTGGGCCATGGCCCACCAGTTGGCAACCACTGGTCTATGGTATTATGGTAAAGTACCATGCTCAAAAATGAGGAAATATATGTCCAATCTGTATCTGCAGAGCCCTTGCTTTTAATTATGTTGTCAATTTCTGGGAATGATCTGGGCTGTGCACTAATTCTGGTTTCTGTTAAAAATGGGGGTAATCCTAACTAGATAATAGTTTACTGGTTGATGACTGAAGTAGAGATTTGACTATTTAATGGAACTGTTACATTGTTCAGCAATTGCGTTAATATTTCTTGCCAATATCTGGCACATAACAGTTTTATGTCACTTTCTGGCTTGTTATAATGGGATTGTAGCCCAGTACACTTGGAACTAGCAGAAGTTAATATTCAGATAAAATCAATAGCTAGTACTTAAGTGTAACCATACTATGTTACATTTGTAACTATTTTTTTCTTTCTGAAGTGCTGTAGTTTAGTTGAATACTTCAGTGTTAATATTTTCTTTTCTGATAAAGCTTCTTTAAAACAAACTTGGTTTGGGTCTGTTGACAGATTTTTTTTTTTTTGGTAGCCATTTGGCAGCCTCTCTTCCTTTACCTGTAGAGAGAAACCACATTCGACCGAGGATCGATTTGATTGTCTTTATGATTAATGTTCAAAGCAAATACAGGTATGAACAGAAATATATTTGACAGGGAGAGAAGGGATTTGCTTGTTTAATTGCTAATTTGGGCAAAGTGTAATAAACTCAAGGGGGAACAAAAGTTTACCTATTTGCATTTGAATAGATTTGGAAGCTATAAACTCTCATTTTTAAATATTGTTCTAAAGTATGTAAAATTAGGTACATTAGGTATGTTCTCTGGTTTAAGTTATTTATAAAACAGTAAAATAGGGATAAAAATCAAAATAAGTTAGAATGAAATCCCATTTAATAAATTGCTAATATCATTAAAATAATAGAGTTTTTTCTTCTAAACTTGAATATTATCTAGAGAAATTTGCTCCTTGAGGAATTCAGTAACATAAAAGAGATTATGTAGAAACTGAAAGCAATTATTTTCTAACTGAAATGTAAATAAAAATTCCTTTGAAACATAAGCATTTGTTCATTAATGGGGCTTTTTTTCTTATGATTTATTAAAAGCTGTTATCATTAGGTCATGAATATAGCAAGGGATATTTTTGCATTTGTAAAAAAAAATAACCCTGCATTTTGTTTCCTTTTATTTGCTTTTTTCCAGTTTTGAAGATATAGAAGCTTCCCTTATACATGTAGATGCAAACTTTTTCCTTGGAAAAGTGTGCCTTCTGGTTACTGGTGGTATGTATGAGATACATTTGCTGCTTAAAACAATCTATCAAATCTAACTACTTGGCAGGCAGTCTATTCTATTCAACAACCAGCATTTTGCCTCAAATGTAGCAGGTTGATACTTAAATTCTGACAGCTAACTAGTGCTCCATCTTGCATACTTGTATATTTTTACTTAATAATCTATTACCATTTAGCAATTTGTTATACCAGAATCAGCTATGTTTAATGTTCAGGGTTTTTATTCAGGGCTTAAATATAAATGCTTACTGTTTTTACCAATAATATATTATTGATATTAAATAAAAGAAACAAAATAATATCATACCTGGTAAAAAAGACTGAAAATGTATTTTTTTCTTATCTTTTAAAAAAAATAGTAGGTAGAATGAATAAAATCAGTGTGGATATGGATGCTGTCTGGAAGCTAGCAGACCGTTACTGTAGCCCTGTCTTGTTCTGTGAGCTTGAAGTAAGACCTCTTGGGTTTTTTTTTAAACTACATATACAGTTGTTTTGTTTAGGTAACAAATTCATTTTGCAGTCTAATACCAATATATGCCAGTTTTTAAATAATCAGCCAAATAACCAACTATAAGTCTAAGTGCTATTGCTATCCTTCTTATTTCTGTTTCCAGTTATTGAATCACTGTCTCTATTAGCCTTTCCAATGTTCATTTACCAATCTGGCAAAATTAGAGCAAAGTTATTTCATATTTTCCCCCATTGTCTATCTATGAGAAGCTGCATGCTAATGGTTTAATTTTTTCCACCTTGCCCAATGGCTTCTTGGAGAAGTTGATAGTTTCTAAAAGAAAGTGCAGCTGTCTTAAGGTTGACTCAGCCTTCCATCCTACTGAGGTGGGTAAAATGAGGACTCAGATTGTTGGGGGCAATATGCTGACTCTGTAAAACATTTAGAGAGGGGTTATAAAGCACTGTGAAGCGGTATATGTGTTATTGCTATTAGTCCACATAATATTGCCAGGGGGCACATGTGCCTTGATCTGCAACTTCCTACCCTTGAGGTTATTTTTTGAGTTATAAAAATAGTCAAGTGTGAGGAAAGCTTATGGTCAATGAATTGATTTCATCAATAAAAATAATTATAAATCAAATAAGTATAATTCTTGTGCTTGCCCATTAAGTAAAGATATTGTAGTTGTGAAGAATTGCTTTTGCCCTACTCAGTATCAAGGTGAAATTTTCTTGTGGCTTTTCCCGAAGAGAGTGATAAAGAATAATCATGATTAATGTAACAATGAAGTAATTCCAAAATTTTGGGCTTGGGAGGAAAGAGCTATCATAGTGCAATTGCTCATATAACTAAGGCCTGTTACTCACCAAATACTGACAGCAAATCTATCACAAATAAATGTTTAATTCTACTTTTAACTATAATGGAGCAGCTGTAATGAAAAAAATAAGCATTTTTGCACTTCACATTTTCAGTTGGATGTTATATTTTTCTGAGCTCAGTCAAGCTAAATTCGGGTTTGGAACTCTCCATTTGCTACAGAGGAATGGTTGAAATGTGGCTGGCTTGCCTGAAACTTTGTACAGATTTATTCTATGCAGATAGTCCTTGACTATAAGTAACCTTTTTCAGTGCTGTGTCTATGGAGACTCTCAGTCATCCAGATCATAGTTGTCTCAAAGGGGCTTTTTCAAAGGCAACTGGGCTGTTTTTTTCTTTAAGAAAGAAGTTTCGCTTCTCATCCAAGAAGCTTCATTAGGTGTGATGCTGGGGTGGTGGTGGAAGGATAGGTTCTGACAGGATGGTGAAATGGAATGTAGTCATCAGGAAAGTTAGCAACTTCAACAGATGCAAAAAAAAATGTTGTAAATTGAGAACTACCTGGTAGTAATTCCCTGTACCTGGCAATATACTTTCTCTGGCAGATGATGAAGCTGGGTATAGTAATTAAGTGGCCATTTGGATTTACCCATTTTTGCAGAACAAGGATATATTTTACTGTCCTCCCTGTTGTTATATCAGGTAACAATTGTACAGATATTTTAAAAGTGCTGTTTGATCTTTTGTTTTCCTCTTTTCAGTGTGAAAAAGTCAGAACTGTCACAGCTCAGAGACTTCTCCGGATGTTACAAATATGCGCTGGTCATGTATCGGGGATATCTTCCCTTTCCTTCAGTTCTTTAATGAAATGCTCCAGTGAGGACTCAAGTTATTTGACATAAAACATTGTTGTATTTTCCAGTTTTATTATCTGTGGTTTCTGAGTGGTCTGAACATAAGTATCACTCTATCAGAAACAAATCTTACCTACTATTTTTTCATATGGGATAGGGGTGGTGTCTTAAAGGAGCCAAATTAGCCTGGACTTATCAGTAATTATGATGCCTCCTTCTCAAAGTCTAGTTCTCAAGTATATAGCAGGCAATCAAAATTGTTGGCATATAAGCACAGGTATAATACATGAAAACTCTGGTGTTTCCAGAATGAATTGCTAGAACAAGTTTCTTAATGCCATTTACGTACAGATAAATATCTCCAGTGTCTTCAGGATCTTCATGAAGAAAAGTGTTTCTCACAGATATATATATATCAAACAAAATGGAATCCCTGCTGTCTGCAGCACATAGAACACGTATTATCCTGAGCAGAATGTCAGTGACAGGTTGGGCAACAAAAAAAAGCAGATATTTGATTAATTATTATAGAGCAACTGGCCTTTTGGATAATTAGAGATACATATCCAATGCAACTCCCAAAATTGGAGGGTTTAGGATCAAGATGAAGTTCCATTGAAAAGGGCTGCAAATAGTGCATCTTCTTTAAGTCATTTTTGTATGGAAAGCAAGTATTTTTTCTGAAGAGTAGCTTTTTTTTTAGTATATTTTTTTTTATTATACTAAACATTAAAATGCACATTGCAAAAAAGGGGGAAAGGGAGAAGATAATACAAAAGCAAAATAAACTAAACAAGACTACAAAAAAGTGCATACAAATCCAAACATATACATAAATTGCCCGCCCAGTTGAATACTGAAAAATATATTTCAAAGATAATAACTCTTTCCCCCTTGCAAAGCAGGCACACAATTTATAAATTTCTACAACATTCTTTACCCGATCCACTTAGCCTGACCTACTGACCAGGTAAAACCAACAGCCAAAGTAAACTTCAGAGATCTCTGTTAATAGTCAATGTATTTCCCTCTTAGAATGTCCATGATGACTTCTGATCAGTATGATCATTGTCTCTGGTCCATTCAGGATAAAATATTCTTGATTGATCCTTAATTATTAGACTTTCCCTGAAAAATATTAATTGAGATCTTTCCTAACAGTGGAATTTTATTTCCCAAAGTCATGAGACACTTGTGAATATCTCCACAGCATTTGTAGTTTTAAAAGTCTCTTGTAAGTTATAATAGAACGGCTCATAACACTTGTTTTCCAGTTGGATATTGTGAATCCATTTCCCAATCTCCCTCAATCTTGAAAGTCAAGTTCATCAGTGATCATTTTTATCAATCTTAAGTCTTTAAAATCCATAGTTCAGGAGTGACCAGGATCAATATTGGCTATTTAGCTATATTCCTCCCACAAGGTGGTATCTTTTTATACTGCCTTCATAGATTTAAAAGCAGTAAACAGAAGAGTTCATCTGCCACTCTCAAATGATTTAGGACAAAAGATGGCCTATTCTATTCAAATTCTATTATATCCACTAGAACAGCTAGCACAACTTCTTTATGCTTTTTTTCTTTTTTTACAATTTTGTCCCTTGAGCTTGCACAAAAATTCTTCAAAGCTTTCTTATCTCTATAAGTTCTTTTTTTTTCTAAGCATGTGTCTGTTGCTACACTGCAATTGGAGAAGAACCTCATGAAAGTGAAGGATAAATTGTGGCTGGCTATACTAAGCTGTCACCTTAGATTAACCCTCTTCCTGATCTTTCCATCCCCAACTATGAGTGATAATTTCCAATCCAACTGAAAAGAAATAATTGTGACTAAATTCCCCTTTATGGCCTATTGTGCCTCTACTTAATAGGGGTTATGAGCAGGCCAAAACTCTAATTAAACAATGCATAACAATGCCAGTTTAACTTAACTAGGACCCCAAACTTCATCAGTGAAGGTCTCAGGTATTTTCCTTCACTCTTGACAAATTGAAAAGCCTTTATTTTTTTCACAATGTCATTGTTCTCCTTCAGCCATGCACAATGCAGAAACTTGTCAGAATGATAATCCTGGGCATAGAGGAACACTAGCATGTTCTCCAGTGCTCACATTAAAAAAGTACATCAACTTCATCCTCAACAAGTATCCAGGGTACCTGTGACAATTGTATATTTCTCTGCTACTTCTGGGCATTAGCTGTGCTACAACATACAGTGTTGGTAGTACACAACAGTACACAAAATCTGCTGGTTGATGACTTCTTAGCCTCATTTAGATGTACATACTCCTAGTTTGCTACCACAGTGCACTCTCTTTAATTTATCCTATTTCTACTCAACATTTTGTAACTTTTTATGTCTATCCTTTCCAATCCCTCTTAATACCTTTTACATACCTATGTCTTCTTTTATTGACTATATTCCTTCCTCAGGCCTATTCTGTTCTATGATTATAATAAGGATTTTTGTTTTTCCTAAATTGGCATTGGGGGTGTGTGTCTGAAAGCTCAGAAGGTGCCCATTGGCACCATGGTAGCGAAAACTTCATATATTGTATTAGGAGGGTAAGATCATCCAGGTTCAACTTTATTCATATATTTATTGATATAATGTGTGATGAGGACATGCCATTTTGAACATCTAGAATAAATAAAGTGATTTTAAAAAATAAATGTGGATTGCCATCTTTCTGTCTCTCTCTCACATACACACAGTACAAATTGCAATTTCTACTATTACCTCAAGATGGTGACAGAAGACTTATCAAATGCATGTAGTTAAATTTAAAGATTTCAGGCTGCTGCTTATATACATGCTCATCCAGTTGCATGAGAGGAGTGCAGCATCTAATCCAACAATAAAAGTTAAATGCCATACAAATGTTGCGAAATTATCAGCCTCTGAGATAAAATATGTTAAGTTACATATTTTGATGAGATGAATTAAAAACGGGTGATAAATGTGCTGGTTGACTAAAGTTTTCAAGCTATTTCACAATAAAATATTTATACAGAAGCGAGTATATTTGCCTATCGGGGAACAAAGAGTCTAATGATCACGATGCCTCATAACCTCTCGACAAAGTACGGTAGAACAATGAAAATGGTACAACATGAAAGTATAAATTTATCTTCACTTTGAGAACAGCAAGGCAGACGACTGAAAAACAAAGAGTTGACCCTACTGCAGTTCACCAGAAAACACTAAAAAGTGCAGTTTAGATACCGAATAAAGATGGAACCTTGTCATTTAATCTGATGTTAGAGCTTGTCAGTTTTTCATGCAAAAAGCATGAAAATGTTACATGAAAAAACAATAAATGAATCAAAAATTATCTTATTGGCACCAATAAAAAGAAATGCATAATGATTGGTGTGGCACCATTCTCATTGCTATATCACATTTTGCAGAAAAGTTATGGAGCATAATCACACACACCCCTTGTAATTTTGAACTATTTTGATGCAATTGTGATTTGAAGCTGTATCTTGGAAAGTGGAGCCAATTAATACTCTGGAGTTAATTTTCCTTTATTAGTGACCCATAAAATTAAATTTAAAATTAAGCTACTTTCATTTCCAAGGCTTTCTCCTTGTAGATCTGTTCTTTAAATAATTAAATTATAAAATATATTAATAGTTTAATAGACATTCTATCTACCATTTGTATAAAATAACTTCTTCAAAGTTACAACTTTTCCTTTGTTTTTCTGTCCTATCTACCCTGAAAGAATAATTGTTTTTCTGTCCTATCTACCCTGAAAGAATAAATCTATAATAGTTTACCAAGATTTATCAGCTGTCTTATCACTAGTTTGGTTTCTAATTTGTGTTTATACAAAACCTATTCAAATGCTCAGAAAATAATACTTTTATCCATGTGTTAATAACAAGAAGCTATAACACTGAATTGAATTTACTCACAATCAGATTCATTTACTAGTGGACTATTCCTGCAGGCAGGTTGTACAACTACTATTTATCTAATATCAGGTTGATATTAGAAGCAGAAGTGGGTTCAGGATAGTGAAGCAGGAAGCATTTTTTTTAAATTAGTTAATATGTGTGTATCAAGAAGTGTTCGCTCCTGGAAACTCCCTGGACAAGTTCCTGCAAATTTCTTGGAAAGTTGTTTTTCCCCAAGTACTTTGCCATTGCCTTCTTCCTGAGAGAAAGTAAATGGCCCAAGGTCACACAACTAGCTTTGTAGCGAAGGCAAAATTAGAATACTATCCACCAACCTGGTGCCTTAACTGCTACATCAGACTGGCTCTTAAATGGAAAAATATACCCCCAAATATAAATTACTAATGGTTTCTTCATCTGACATTATGAGGGTCCCAGGTGAGAATATCAGATGTTTTTGTTAATGTATAAATTTTCCCAAGCAACAGAGATTAAAACCAAGGCCAGTTCACATGTTTCTGGCAAACAGATGCAAAATATATATTTACAGTATTAAGTATATATTTAATGTATTAAATAATATATACCATATTATATTAATATTATATTCAGCTCATAGGACATTTCAATCACAACTGATTCTATAGCTCTCCCTGGATGTATTAATGGATAGCTTCAAGCAGTTTATTTTTTCACCATTTTTTTTGCTAAACGGAAAAAAGCCAATGTTAAGAATTTTTTTTATTATTGCAAAAGAATCAGGCATGAGCTTGACTATTCCATAAAAATTCATAAAGATGAATATGCAAAAAGAGAGAAACAAACAGAAATCTCCCTGGCATTGTTTTCTCTTGGGGAATTATGATCTTTATGGACTTCGTCACATTTTCAGATTTATTCATTATTCAGAATAATTCAGAAATGCCCTATGAATAACCCTCAGCCTGCTGTTTTAACTGTTTGAAAAGATCTGCAAATAGTTTTTTTGTAAAATGCAAAGTGATTTGGTTAAATGTTTGGTTGGCTGGTCTTGGCAGTCTTTCCTATTGTAGCATAACTGGAGGACATCAAGATGGAGAAGGCCGATTGAGGGTCTCATGAAAGGATTGTGGTTTGTAAAGCAAGGTGCTTAAATCAGCTTTTGAATCCTTTCTTGGTTTGACACTTTCAACAATGGTACATGCCTGCTTTTTTCAAACTGTTGTTCTTTGGACTGGCTACAGTTCTTATGCTAGCAGGAGATAATGGAAGGTGTTCTTTAACTCATCCAGTAGATTCCAAATTGGGGATTATGTAACAGAACTAAGCAGTTTTCAGCTACTGAGTCACAATTGTCTGCTGGGAATAAGAGAATAGCTCATTGCTACAGGAAGAGCTTTTCTGGATCAGGCCAAACTTCAGTCTAATCCAGCACTTATTTCCTACAGAGAGTAACCATGGCTATGGGATAAGTAAAGCAGGAAAGCAAAAGTGTTCTCTTTTGTTGAACCCCAGCAACTTGTATTCAGAAACATAGGCTAGGTTCACCTATTGTGCTAAGCCATTGTTTATATGATTTCTTGGAAAAAAACATAATTAAGGTTGCTTCACACAAAGCCATAATACATGGTGTTTAAAAATAACAGTGGTTAATTTGATCCAGAAGATTTTAAAATACAATTCAATCAAATTTTCTTTTGGGAATAATGGATAGGCAACTAGAAAAAGTAAGGGAAGCTTGTTTTTAAATATGACAGCTGCTGCAAGATATGCTCAGTTGGAAACGTTCAACATTACCCATAATGGAGAAATAATTGGTGAAGTTGATGGAACTTGCAAAGATGATGCAGTTGTTTGATTAGAGTGCTAGGAATCCCCTATTATCTTTTTGCATGAAATAGAAAAAAATGCACCTTTGACTTGTGGTTTTGATAAGAAAAACATTGGATAACAAAAAGAGTGAGGGTTTTTTAAAAAAATCATAAAATAAGAGATTACTTTCCAATCATGCTTGTGCTTGCTGCAGAGAAAATTAGAAGCTTTGTTTTTTATTTCTTCTCATTTTGTTTTTTCCTTTTTCTTCCTTTATTTTATATTAGTTTCTGTTAATTTTTATGTTCTTTTTAAAACTTCAGAGAGAGTGAGAGAGAGACTTTAACTGACAAGGTCCTAAGCCAAAATATTATGGTTTATCACAGCAAGCAAGATCATTTCTGCACCAATTCAGAAAGCTCAAATTGCCCAAGGAGCTGCTGATACAATTCTACAGAAGAATTATTGAATATATCATCTGCACCTCTATAACTGGTTTGTCTGGTTTGGTTCTGGAACCCAACAGGACAGACAGAGACTTCAGAGGCTAATTAGGACTGCAGAAAAAACAATTACTACCAACCTGCCTTCAATTGAGGACCTGTATAGTGCACAAGTCAAAAAGAGGGCTGTGAAAATATTTACAGATCCCTCATATCCTGGACATAAACTGTTTCAACTCCTTCCCTGAAAATGATGATATAGACTAGAGCACTGCACACCAGAACAGCTAGACACAAGAACAGTTTTTTTCCTGAACATCATCACTCTGCTAAACAAATAATTCCCTCAACACTGTCCAACTATTTACAAAATCTGCACTACTATTACAATTAATCTTCTCATCACTCCTTATCACCCACCCCCTCCCATTGTGACTGTATGACTTTGTCACTTGTATCCTTACCATTTATATTGACTGTTTCCTAGTATGATTTGATGATTGCTTATTGTACCCTACGACTATTATTAAGTGTTGTACCTTATGATTCTTGACTCTTGATGAATGTGTCTTTTCTTTTATGTATACTGAGAGCATTTGCACCAAGACAAATTCCTTGTGTGTCCAATCACACTTGGCCAGTAAAAAAGAATTCTAATTCTAATACTATGGCTCAAATTGGATAATCAAGCTACCCATTATGAAGAATAGTCTATGAACTATATGAACTATTTACTTGATTTAAAAAAAAGAAACAAAAGTCATTGAAATTTGCCCATTATCACACCTGTGTCAGTGAGTTCTTTTCATTACGTATTATACATCATGTGAAAAAATAAACTACTCAGATATGCTACCTCAGAAGGAAAGTACCAAGACATCTCAGTTGGAAATATTACCTTCACAGCAAAGTCTCTTTAGACAGTGAGGAAGGTTCACAAATTTCTCCTTAATATTCTGTCAAGATTTGGAAAAGCAAGTCAAATAGCACATAGACTTTAAGTCCATTTACTTAGTTATACTTGTTACCAATTATCTTTAGGCTAAAATAGATCAAAACTTTAGAATAACTTTGTGAATTCATAGTCTCTATTGAACTCCCAGCTCAGTAACCTAAGTATGACCTTACAATGATGAAGAGGAAGAAAAGACTGATGAACTTTGAAATTTGGAGTTTCTTTGAAATTAAGAAACAATCATGACCATATTCATTTATGAGAAAACAAAACAATTCCAGAAGTATAGCCACACGTTTTTGTTAATACAAAAGTGTATGCAAGTTTTTAGAGTTTTTTTCAACAAGGTATTATTTTAAAAAACCTCACTCCAAACCCTGTAGTGGGAGAAAATGTCAAAATATAGCATTGGCTTTTTATAGCTGTGTTTTAAAGGTACAACATGCCTGCTGAAATGGAAGTAGTGTCCAGTGCAGGGGTGTAAAACTCACGTCATCATGGCAGTGTCATGTGACGTATTGAGACTTTTCCCCCTTTTGCTAAACCAGGCATGGGCGTGGCCAGCATGTGATGCATCCAGCCTG